CGTATTAATCTAGCTCCTCATGATTAATATTATTCATAAACTATTTCAACTTCGAATTTGAAATAATATTAACTTCTTTTTTTTTTTTTTTTTTTTCTATTAATGTGCGTCAGCTTAAGGCCCCGCTAGAGGAAAACCTGTTAACCAAGTTAATGTAACCCTCGAAGCTAGCCTTTTAAGTCTCCAATCCTCAGTTAAGGGGTACGGCAACCTAGCACTAGAAGCATATCCCTATCAGTTGCCACCTAGTTAGACCACCTATAACAGCTATACCCATAATTATAAGCTCACTAGACCGTCAGGTACTATCATCTTTGGATAGAGGGTTCACTTCAACCATAGAGCTTATCACACTCTATTTTTACCAATCTAATTTATAGGGTTTTACCCTATTGATGACTACCAAGACCGTGGGATCAGATCCTTTACATAAATGGTGGTTTTGTACCCATAACGTCAAATTCACCTGGGAATTAAACCAGCCTCTACCCTAATGATAGTTTGATTGAATAGTACTGCGGTATGTAATGCAGTCTATTATCACTATAGTCTACCCGAAGGAGGTACCCAATCTACTAATTACTGGTTAATCACTTCTTTACTTGTGTAAGGCCCCTGAATTTGAAGACGTGAGACAGTATCCATTATAGACCTATCAGCGAAGGCCAAGTTTCTGTCGATCCCTGGCTTCATTTGCATCCACTTGTTCTTCAAACCCAGTATTTAAGTATGATTAACTTCAATTGACAGATCGATCGACCAGTATCTAACGTTTATTAGTCTAAATGCTCACGTGTTCAGTTACATATAAAATTCTTATGAAAATCATCTAGTTTTATGCCTTGGCTGAGGCCTGAACCTGTGACTATTGCAGTGTAACCTACAATAGGAGCTCAGTTATTACCAACTAAACTAGGAACGCCAATCCCCATAATATTAACTTCATTTATTGTGAAAAAATGATAATTTAATTTCATGTTCATAATAACTTATATGGGTTGATTATTAAGAAAATCAGGTTCCGAGAATTTTTTAACAAAATTGATATTTTTTATTGCATTTTAGTTTTTGATGTTATTAGATTAAAATGTATTAAATTCTAAATTTAAGTCAAAATTTCTTGGAACCTGATTTTCTTAGAAATCTTCCTATATAAAGTTATAGTAATATTCTAACTTTTGAATATTGTCAACGGAAGAAATTGCAACTCCAAATATCACGTGGAATATGTCAATCAACAATGATCTCACGTTAGATGATGTCACTGCTGTGCTAAATAGTGATCAGCAGTAATTTCTGTTTCTTTTATTATGTCTGTTCTCTCTGTATTTTCTATACAGACTGTTTATCCTGTTTGTTCTGTTTTCGTCCATAATTTCTTTAACATCTGTAACTTATTTTATTTCTTTTTATTATTTTATTATTTGTATTATTTATATTAATTTTATTATTTTATTATATATTTTATTGGAACATATATTTATATTTAGTTAATTTATAGCATAGCAAGTAGTTAGCTATAGCAAATTCATTTTATATAAATAGAATAGCTTTTTGCTTAAGTTGTAAATTAACTCCTTTGCAAGTTTATTAATTTTTCTGCGAATTTCAAGTTATAAATAAAGGAATCAATTTAAATCCACACAAACTACTTTTCCCTTCAACGTTGTCCTTCACCTAGGATTGCTGTGATATACTACACTAACTTGCTATTGAGTTCGTCATTATGAGTTCAATTAACATATCTTAAATTTTAAGACGTGATAAATTGCCGAGTTGATTCAAGTATAACGGATACCTGTAGGACTTAGAAACAATCCTAAGGTCGGAATTTCCAACGTGTAGAATCAGCTGCCGCAGCCTTTCAACTTAGACATTAAGATAAACGAAAACAAATCCAGTGACAATATATAGATTATTTCTCAATAATTAATATTTATTATTTTCACTGTAACATTTAAGATATAAACTTAAAATATAATAACAATTTTTTAATAAAATAAATTCAATTTATATATTTACATACTAATAATTATTACTCTATTAGTGTTCAATAAATAAAATTTAAAAAGTATAATTAAAATTTAAAAAATAAACTTTTACTTATTTCATTTTCTTCTATAATTAAATTTTCTATAAAATCTATATATATTAAAATAGAAATTTTATAATTTTTAATTCATAAATATTAAAATAATTACCAATAGTTTGACTAATTTCTATATTAGCATTGTTTAAATCTAAAATTGCATTCAATTTATCAGTAAAATCAAGTAAATGACTTGTATAATATGCTTGTGAATGTGATTTAATAATAACTTTATCTAATAAATTATTATTTTTTACAGCTTTATCTGATTTATAAAACTCTATAATATTATTTTTTAATTCTTTATCAGAACATTAGTAATGATATTTTTATACCAATTTTTGATAATATTTTTAATTTCTAATGTAGTTGGTCTTTTTAATGATTTATATTCCAACAATTTATCATTAAATTTATATAAAATTGAGAAATATTTTCAATAATTTTAAGACGTTTGGCTTTACAAATATTTAAAGCAAGTTGAAAATCATGAGCTTCATTATCAAATGGTAGTAATCCAGATATAAATTCTCATATAATCATAGAAAACTATATATATCACTAGCTAAAGTATAAGGTTGAACTCTTAAAACTTCAGGTGCCACAAATAGTAAAACTCTATAAATATCATATTTTTAAATGATTAAAAATAATTTACAGGTTTTTATAATTCTAAATCACTAATAGATAAAATATTATCATTAATACATAAAATATTACCATAATGAAAATCATAATAAATAAGTTTTTGCTGATGTATTTCATTAAGTCCACTAATAATATGATATAATTGTAATAATTTAATGATCCATTTATTTTTAGTTATATTTAATAAATTTTTTCTTAAATTATTATTTTTTGCATAATTCTTTATTACTATATTATTTAAAGTTTGGAATCTTGAGTAATTCTATATAATTAGAATAAGATTTTTATTTGTATATTTTTTTAATTGACTATAATATTTATAATAAAACTTTCACTAAAATTAAAATATTAATTTAAAAATTAATATTTAAATTTAAAAATAATTATAAATTTTTACCTCATTTAAAAATTCTTCATTTAAATTTGAAGACTTATCAAAACTTTTAAGAATTATATCAGTTTTATCATTTCTTATCCAATTTTTATTCTTATAAGAAAAATATTTAATAAATCTATCTAACTAAATAGCTTTATATATAATACTAAATCCTCCTTTATCTAAATATTCAATATTTACAAATTTATTATAAGGAATCCATTCTAATAATTACCTCTTATTTTAAAAATTCAGTTGAATTTTTTGAATAAATTTATCAATAAAGTCATTTAGTTCAATTAGAAAAATTGTGTTTAAGAAATTTAGAATTATATTCTTTACACTACTTATATTCAATATTATTTTTATTACAATTTAAACAAATACCTTATTTTCTAAATAATAATTTTATATTAATAATAATATTATTATTATATAATAACTTTAAAAATAAAAATAATAATTTTTAAATAAAAATTTAGTTAAGTTTAAATTATAGTAATAAGTATAATTAAATATAATTAATCAATAAATAACTTATTGTTTATTATATATAAATCATTAAATATTTTTTACAATAAAAATTTAGAAAATTTGAATATATTAATATTGTTTATTTAAATATATAAAAACTGTAATTATTTAATATAACTTACATATTATAATATTTTAAAATAAATTTAATTAGTTTAATAGTTTAATTAATATAAATAATTAATAATTGAAATAACTTACTAACTAAATGTATTAATAATAAAATAAAAGATTTTTAAATAAAAATATTTAGCTTAATTTAAATTATAATATAAAGAATAAAAATAACTTACTCCCTATAATGTTAAATATTTTAAAATAAATATAAATTTAGTTAAATTAAAAATTATAACTAGTAGAAATTAAAAAGCTTACAATCTATAATATTTCAACCATTAAATTTTTTTTGAAATGAAAGAAATAATAAATTAATTAATAATGAAATTATAGTTTGCTTTAAATAGATATTTTTATTTTTATTCTAAGTTTGAATTACAATATTTTAATAAATTCCTTTACCATTTAAATTTTTGCTAATAATTTCATATAATTAGAAAAGAATTATTAAATTTTAATTTTACATATAAATAAATTATATACTCAACTTAGTAACTTCTTCATAAGCATTATATGTCCATGTATCATTTGCATTGATTTCTAGCAATTTGTTTATATCTGCAAGTGATTCCGTATATCTTTTCATGATATAATAAGTTTCTCCTCAATATCTTAATGTAAATGTATTATGTGCCTCAATTTCTAGTAACTTTATCAAAACTGCAAGTGCTTGCTCATATTCTTCTATAACAAAATAAAATTTTCCTTTGTATTTTAGTATATTATGTTCAGTTGCTGATGCTTATATTAAATCAAATCTGTTAATCTGTTGATTTATTAATTTATCATTGTATGGATTAAGTATTTCAGCCCAACTCTCCTTTAAAGATTCATCAATATCATCATCATTCATCACTAAGAAAATAATTAATATTAATAAAGTAAGTAAAGAAAAAAAGAAACCTAATAAATATACCTGTGTATTTGAACTTTCTATAGCCAAATTTTGCTCTTATAGATCCACCTGGCGACATCATTCCAATACAAGGATACAAAGCCTTTTTGAAACCTCGGAATACAATACCTTAAAATACATAATAGTTATTAATATGATTTCAGTAACCAAGCATTTGTATTACGATAATAGCTACCTATATTCACTCCGTTTCTGGTATAAAATACCGGATTGTTTCTAAAGTTTAAACAACATCCTATAGAATCACCATTCATAAATTTAGGTCCATATGATTCGCCAATAGCATCGTTAAAAAACTTTTTTCCATCATCACCATAATAACCCCACGAACTATCTTCCCAGCCTACAAGATTAATAAATAAATTCATTTTACCGACTTAGCGGTTGATAAAAAGAAAAAGGTGAAGTTACCGGGCAATTTATTTAGGTTAGCTGATTGTGTGCAAAACCCGATTCCAACCACCCTAAGGAATTGAATAGGAATGGTCAAATTTTTTAAAAATTGATTTACTGTATATATTAAATAGAAAAAAAAATTATTGCGAATTTTTTCAACACACCCATTTTCCCCTCTATCTATAATATCAACTTCAAAATAAAATAATCCACATTGCTCAGGAATAGGATAATTTGTTCGAATTGCAGCACAATTTTCTACTCCACCTAGACCTTTATATTTGGAAAATTGTAGTTATGGAAGAATAAGTGATTCTATATGAAACTGCAAATTATAAAATTGTTATGTAATGAATTCACCTGTATAATTCACTATAAGCCTGTCTGACATTAGTCTTATAAGATTACGTTCATCATTAGTATTCCATGCGGTTGGTGAATCCATATTATTTTGTAATCCTTTAGCAAGAATGTTAGTAGCGTTTGATTAATGAAGGATGTAACTTGATTTATATGCATAATGCTTTTTACCTTCTTATGTAGAACCTTGCGAATTAATAATATTTTTTTTAAAAAAAAAGAATTTTAGTAAATTCTCGATTCTCATTGCTATTTATATTAAAAAAGTACTTTTGTCATACATCAATCTGCATTTCAATCATATTTTCATAGAATTTGTGTTACATAATAAGAAAATACAAAAACTTTTCTTGGGAATTCTTGGAATTTCTTTCTAATTCATATTAAATTGAACGGGAGAATTCTTCAAATAGAGTACATGTATCAAATGCAAAATTAAAAATTGAGAATTGAAAATTTCGTCTCCAACTTACTTTTTGGTCGATAAAATATTTTCTTTCATAAGCTACCATTTGAAAATAATATATTGATTATAAAATTTTGGTACAAAAAGATCCAACTACTGTATATTCGAACATGACATATCGAGAAAATTTCATATAAATACATAATTTAGTCTAAAAATCCGTAGAGTTAACTTTTTTGTGTATATTTGGAATAGTCGTGGCCTAAATTTTACAAATTAGATTTATTATAATTGCTTTTTCTTCTAATTTTACACAAATTTAACACTTGAAATTCGTTGCGCCAATGTGAATAAAGAGTTTTCTGCGCACGCGTTGATTGAACGATCCCAAATGCGTTAATGTTAGAAATGCGCATTTCAAATATAATCGTAAATGCGCTCAAAATGCGAAGATCGTTTAGGGATATGCGCTTATCCCAGAATGAACGTTTCGGATAATGTTCCAAATTCTCACTTCAAATTTCTGAAATGAACATATTGACTAGGAAATTCAGGCTCAGAGAACTTTTTGACTAAATTAAGACCTTTTTAATCAAATAACATCAAGAACTAAATGTAATAAAAAATTAAAATTATGTTAAAACATTCCTAGAGCGTGATTTTTCCTAGCAACCTTCCCATATAGATCTACCGCAAGAATGTCAGTAAAGATGATGAGAAATATTGTTAGTTATAGGTAACGTAAAAATATATCTATTGCCTTGAAACTTTCATTAGGAACACACTCAATAAGTTTTTGGAATTTCCGAACTTCGAGAATTTGGCAGGTAAATTTAAGGTAAATTATCTGAACATATCCGCATCATGTGTGCCAAATTTTGTTGAACTGCGTGCTGTTGAAAATCAAGTTAAATTCGATTTGGAAAATACTCTCTCTTTCTCTTTCTCTCTGAAATAAGAAAGACTTCACATGATTATAAAACCATCTCGAATTACTTAGTCAAATATTTACGAAGATAAAGACGGTTTGATTTTATAATGGAAAATCTATTAATGATGTTATAGTATTCTTCTAGAATTCATAAAAGCATTATTTTAACATACATTGTTATTATTTTGTAGGATGTACTAGATCATTCGTTAATGATATTGGCGATGGATGTAATGATAGGTTTGAAATTATTAGAATTTTCAGTTGGTATTTTGTTTGATTTAGCAGAACGAATAAATGGAATCAACTGATGCCTTTTTATATATTTGTAGCGACATACTCCGCGTGAGTAATTGGCAAGTATGATTGCATAATGAAAATACGAATATTTTTCCGCTCTTCCATCACATATTCAAGTATCCCATGAACCCATAATCGAAAATTTAATTTCGTACAATGTTTCTTTATTTAAATTCACTATAAAGTTACTGTATAATCTATCGCAAGATAACACATATCACCAGGCAGGAACTTCAATGCGTATTGCTTAACACGATTAGCAATCCAACAGACTAGCTGATAGTTTCGTATGATCAAATAAAACTTTCAATAGGATTAAATAAATAAATGATATTTGTACCTGACTTTTTCACCAATTATCAACGAGATTTCATATCAATAAGATCCTTGTTCACAGATTATTAATATGTATATCTTTAAATCTTTGAATATCGAAAATCACCGAATATCAAAAGTCATTATCAAAACTCATTTTGTAATCGACGATGAATTGTCATTCTATGTAGTAGATTTAAGTACTTTCGGAGGGTTTACTTTTATTTAATTTAGTTGAATTTAGTTTTTATATTTATTTTCTTTTTATTTTTATTAGGAACGGAGTTTCTCTCAGGGTTGTAATTCAAAAACTTAAGATCCGAATATTTAATTTAATTTAACCAAAAATTAGTTAATTTATATAAATATTAACTTAAACCTAGATGCTTTACAAAAATAAATTATTTTAATTAAAGATTAAAAATGTACAATGGACAAATAAATTAAAAAATAAATGTAAAATAAAAGAGCGAAAAATTTTGGATTTCCCAAACACGATTTTTGCTTTAATTATACCAATGTTTCGTTCAAAACTGATAATTGGTCAGATGTTTCAGATATTTTCAATACGATGGAACTGAGAATGGTTTTACTAGTAGAAAGAATTAAAGTATTATGATTGGCTCATCTATAATTTTGAAAATTTCTTCAATCTGACGCTCATCTAAACATTTGCAAAATCTTTATTGTGCTAAAAGTAAACTATAATAACCCTTATGTAACGCACTACAAGACCATATGGATTCGATGTTACAGAATCTTCGGTGAAAATTTGCACGTTCTGAACTTCCAGAGGATGAAGTTAATTTGTATATTTTAATGCTTGCTCATAATTTTTTTTGAGTTTCGGGATTGATCCTGTTACTATTATTTCAATTTACAACGATGGGTGAGGCTCATTGTTTTTTTGATCATCAGATAATTATATAATGGTGAAATCCACTATGAACACGCCTTACTTTTTCATCGGTAATAATTCAAATGATCTCTTTCTATACTTTATCTCTTTACTAATACATCAATAGTTGATTGTGATAGCAATAGTAAAGACGGCATCACTTTATTCCAGAAGAACTAAACGATATTAACAAATTATATAAAAGAAAAATTCTGAGAATTATTTCATGGTAATAATGATCAGACACATACTAGACTAGATAGCGAATGCAAGAAAATTCTTGTAGTAAATAGTATAATCGATCCTTATTCAAATTTTTACCGAAAAATTGTCACTGGAAAGTTCCATAAAGCCTACCAATATCAGCTGGACATTTCAGTAGTTTCAAAGATAAGATTATCCACCATACTTACTTTTTTTATTGTTTAGAAGTTCCTGAGCAAAACAACGAATATGTGAATATGATATATAATGAATTGTAAAAGAAATAATAATGTACCTTCTTTTTTTTAACATTTGATAATTATTAATAATTGTTGCTGGAGTGACCACTTTTCACAGGGAAAGAATTCAAGGTTTTTGTATGGAAAGTTTTTAGTTTCTCGTTGATAAGCAATAGGGTGGACATGATAAAAAAAGATGGAATATGTACATTATAGGAATATTTAAGATACGATATCATGCTGCGAGATTGACTTCAGCCAAAGATAATGGTAGTTCTTTATTTAAAGACCACTTTGTGGAATCGATAAAAATGAAGTTGTTTTTTCAAAAATCATGACCAATTGTGAACTTTAACAAAGACAATACCTCTTGACGGGATTGATAAAATTGAATATCTGCCTTCAAAGATCATGACATCTAGACTGTATTTTTATTTCAAGGATCACAAAATTGATGAAATTATATTTTTTTCCAATGGTCATGACCTCTTTCTACCGAATTGAATAAATTTCTTTCAATATAATAACCTCTTACAGCAGGATCGAAAGAATAGTCCTAAAAAAAAAGAGTAAAGTAAAACAAATTAATGAACCCTGTGATGTACACACCTCATTGAGCTAATAAAATATTTATGCGCTCACTTTTAAACAAATATATTACAAAATATTAGACTCATCACATAGCCTTAATCTTGTTCTTCGTAATAAACTTTCCATTTTCTGTTCCACTTGCCCACAAATAAGATTCATAAATAAAGAGTAATATGAACTACTGCCTCTTTCAACCATTATAAAATCGATAGTTTTTTGTATCAAGGTCACTATAGTCAATTTCTTTTCAATATTTCCTAACGCAAGTTATCAATTACATACACTGAAGTTGACTTTTCCTTCATTGGATTTAAACTAGCCCATATTTTGGTCTTTTCAATAGCTCTATTGAAAAAGGATAATAATTAAACCGATTGTGAGTAACAGAAGCAAAATAATAGTTATCATGCACCAATTTCTCAATTCAAGCCACATTAAAACTATCGTCCTTCAAAAGACGAGTATTTCTTCAGATTAGCACCGTTCTTTTTAATAAAGTCCTATTATGAAAAATAATTATAAAACATTTTAGTATTTCCAGTAAGTAAAAAAGAGAGAAGGAACGCGATCACCAGAATTCAAATTATATAAATTTTATGTTAGACGTCTAATAGGAGCCTACACTGAATCCAAATTGCATATATTTTATATTAGACAATCAGTAATTAAACTACATTAAGTCAAGAAGCCCTATATGTAACCTTACCAATGACTGGCCTACTTTCTTATGGCCAAAAACCCATATGCAATTTTACTGAATGACCGCGCCTAAAGTGCAAGCTTAAACCTACCTCATAAGTACGTCAATTAGTGTGTTAGATGATATAAATAACTTTTTTCTTTTTCGTCAGACCTTTCAGAACCGTAGAATAAGAAAAGAAGTTGTTAGAAATGTTAGAGGAGAGTTTCAAAAAGAGAAATTAATTAACAATAAATTAATAAACTGAGCTTTAACCTGACCGTTGTGATAAATCTGATAATCATCATATATGTCTCGTTAATTTTATCATTACCTACATATCTGGGAAAGGGGACGAATACGATTAAAACGTCTTATATAAAAGAAACTAGGAATAGGAGGGTTACCATTCAAATACAGCTATGCCACCACATCACCAACGAGACCCCTCGTGATTTTAAATGAAAATAATTTCATTTGTAAAACACGACAATAACTAAGTAAGTCTACTTACATGATAAT